CCACCCAGGAGGTAGAGCTGTCCGCACTGATTTTCTTTATTTTAAATAGCAGAAAAGTGAGGTTCAGAGAGACTTCCTTGCTTGGTTGAGGACACACAGCTGTTACTTGAAGGAGCAAGCTTCAGACCCATGTGTGCCTGGCCCTAACATTGTAGGGAAGCCCTTGTGGGAGACTGCCTGAAAGACAGCTGGCTGCTTGCATTGCCGTTCCCTGAGCGAAGGAGTTGTTATGTTGTAAGTTCTGATTGGCTGTGATTGGCTGCCATTTTATGGCATTATTTACAATAACCATTTTGTAGAGCTGAGTTTCGCTTTCCAGAAAAAACACCTGTTTCTTGTAAATCATGTGTACTTTGTGGAGCCATAATTGTGGCCTTGTATGGTCATCCTTGAGATTGTTTTTCATCCTTGAAGTTGTTTTTACTTTCATACTATTGCCTGATATAAGTGTGAGAGCCATCTGGCAATAAAGGAGAGAATAAAGAAGAACCCTGTTTGAACCTGAGCATGACTCAGTGTGCTTACTCTCGGTGAATCCTCTCAGGTTTGGGGCCTGCTGGCAGGACCCCGACGTCGCGGCTCGCGACAGCCCTGGGATAAGAATTTCCGGGGAAGTTTTGGAGAGGCTGTTGTTCCGTCTCTGAGTTCTCCAAAGAGCAGAGGATGGAGATTATCTATTCACTGATGTAACATTTCCAGGGTTTCAACATCAGATACCTATCGGCCAACAAGAGCAGTCACAGCAAGGGGGCAGGCAGAATGACGCCCGTGTGGAGATCAGATGGGAAGCGTAGATCTAACTGGGATCCTCAGTGAGCACTGAGGAGAAAGAGGGTGCACAAGTGCGCTAACATGCTGCAGGGAAAAGTAAAAACACCTGAGGTTATGTTGTTTACCCGAGAAGTACCAGGAAGGGTGGGAGACATGAATCCTGTGGAACCCTAATTGCTCGTGCCGTGTCTGAGTGAATAAAGCTAAGGCGCACCAGGCATTTGAGCTCTATGTCGAAGGGAGACACACATGATTCCCCTAGATATTAACCTGTTTCTGGGTCTATTTTCATCTCTGTCACCCCTTGGTTGAGCTCTAGGCTGGTTCCTACAAGCCCATACCAGCAGGGCTCGACAGGCTGCATCTCCACTCCCCAGATCTCACCCTCCCCACTCACTTCAGGCCCCAACTCATCTGGAAAGGCAGCAGCAGCCACTGCTATCAAATGTTTCCGCCAAACCCAGGCACTTCCTGAAGATAGAGCCTGGGCAGAACTTCCCTTGCCAGATGAATTCCCTGGTTGTTTCAGTTCTCTTTCTTTCTGGGAAATGTTCTGACTCAAGTTATTTAGGGCACAAAAGCCAAACATCTCTTCTGCCCACACACCATCCCACACCAGAGCTGAATGTGGGCCTGGCCCTCCCCTCGCGGAGGCACGGTTGCAACCAAGAGTGTTGTGGTGGTGTTGTCTCCTTCCCAAGGGAAGAAGACTTAGGCCCAGAGATGGGGTAACACTAGCCCAGGGCCACATATCTAGGGATGACAAGGTCCCCTACCAGGCTTCTGCCTCCACCTGGCTTTGTTGATGGGCAGGAATATCTGAATACCGCTGAGGTCCTGTCTGGATGACAAGCCCAGAGTACAAAGATTTGAGGAGGCCCTTTTGTATGCTTTTGGGACACTCAATAGGTCAGCCAATCTTTGGGCTTAGGAGACCAATGTGGGGAAAGACTCTGAATCATGGCAAGCCACAACAGGAGAAGCAGGCTCTGCTCCACGAGCACTTGCAGTCCTGACACATCTCACAGTGGCTGCTTGGGTTTCCAGTTATTCATCCACCCATCAGGGAGGGGCAGCTATCTGCACTGATTTAAGGTACGACTTCCATAAAACGTACTATCTCCAAAAAACTAGAAACGGAACCATGCTTCATTTGTTTTACTGTTTTTATTTTTGTTTCGAGACAGGATCTTGCTATGCAATTTAGGCTGGGTTTGAGCTCACTATGTAGCCCAGGCTGGCCTCAACCTCATGATAATCCTCCTGCCTCAGAATTCCAAGTGCTGGGATTATAGCCATGGGCTACTCTGCCCAGCATACCATCCTCAGTTTGAAAAAAAAGAATTTGTAAGAAATTTACAACTCGATACCATACTTCATGAGAAACTAAAAAATTTGCCACTCAAGAATAAGACAAAGATATTCTCTCTCACTTTTCCTTTTCAACATCATATTTAAAGTCTTAGCTAAAGAGGTAAGATAATAAAAGGAGATAGAATATGTACATATTGGGAAGAAAAAAATCAAATTTATTTTTTAATAATGTAATTTTCTAAGTGTAAAATCTGAAAGAACTGACTAAAAACAACGCTTGGAAATAGTGATTATAAGCGGTTTCAGGATACAAGATTAATATAAATATGTCAATTAATTTCCTGTGTACAAACAACAAACAAGTGGAATTTGAGATTAGAAATATGTCATTTACATTAGCACCCATATAAAAGAAATATTGATATAAATTTTATAAAACATGTAACAGGAACACTACAAAAATATCTAAGAGAAATGAAAGAACTAACTAAATGGAGAAATAACTCATATTCGTTAATGGGAAGATTCACTATTACCAAATGCCAGTTCTTCCCACCTTTTTTAGATTCTATGCCCAATCAAGACCCCACTAAGTTATTTTGTGTATATTAACAAACTGATTTTCAAAGTTTATATAGAGAGGAAAAAGACATAGAATAGCTGCAGTGATATTGAAGAACAAAATGGAAGGATTGACTTTACTCAATTTCAAGATTTACTATAATAATAAAAACAGGATAGTATTGATTAAAAAATAGACAAATAGATCAATGGTACAAAATAGACCTATATAAACAGACCCAGAAATAGACCTGCATAAATATAATAAACTATTCATTGACAAGAAAAGAGAATACAGTGGGGGGAAATTCTTTTTAACAAACCGTGCTAAGCTTATTGGACATCTATAATAAAAAAAAAATGAATCTGACACAGACCTTTCATTCTTCATAAAAAGTGACTCAAAATGGATAAGAAACTTAAATAAAGGTGTAAAACTATAAAAAATCCTTAGAAGATGATATCAGAGAAAATCTAGATGACTTTAGATTTAATGATGGGTTTTTAAAATGTAGCACCCAAGGCACAGTTCATGAGAGAAAGTCAATAAAATGGATTTCATTGAAGTTTAAAACTCCTGCTTTGCAAAAGACTCTCCAAGGAACAAGAAAAGAAGCCATAGGCTAGGTAAAATTATTTGGAAAAAAAAATTGATAAAGAACTGTTACTCAACAATAAGAAACCAAACAGCTAGATAAAAAGTGAACAAAAGAACTGGACATCTCACCAAAAAAGATATAGAGATAGCAAATAAACGTATTAAAAGACATTAACATAATGTCCTTAGTTTAAAACAATAAGTTACCACTACACACCTGTTACAATAATGCAAATCTAAACATGGATAATGTCAATGCTGGAGAGGATGCGGAGGAGTAGGGCCTCCCATTCGTTGCTGGTAGGAATGCAAAACAGTACACCACTTTGGAAGACAGGTTGGCAATTTCTTACAAAACTAAGTATGCTCTTTCTGTACAATTCTACAATCCTTATTCATACCAAATGAACACACAAAAACACACATGCCAATGTTTAAAATAACTATTTATAATCGTCAAGACTTGGAAGTAACTGCAACGTCCTCCAGTATATATAAATGGATAGATATGCTGTGGTACAGCCAGAGAGTGAAATATTATTCAGTGCTAAAAAGAAACAAGCTATCAAGTTAGGAAAAGACATGGGGGGACCTATAATCAATATTATTAAATGAGAGAAATCTGAAAAGGCTACATGTATGATTCCAATGATAAGCACAGTGGACCCTCATGGTCTAACCAGTCTGACATATGAACAACTTAGGTTAATTAGATTAATGGAAGATTCATCTGCTTCTTGTTATCTATAGTGTGTACCCAGCTAAACATCCAGACCTCAGATGTATGACTTTTAACAACCAACTTGAGTTACAACCTGTGCTGGGAAACCAATTGAGTTCATAAGTCAAGGGTCCACTGTATTCTGAGAAAAGATAAAAATATGAAGACACTAAAAATATCAGTGGTTGGTTATAGGAACCAGCCTACAGGTTCAAAAACGACCAAGGGTTGACAGAGATGAAAAATAAAGAGACACAGAAACAGGTTAAAATCTAGGGGGGCCAGGGGGCTTGAGTGTATCTCCCTTCGACATAGAGCCCCAAATGACTGGTGTACCTTGGCTTTATTCACTCAGATACAGCACAAGTAATTACAGTTCCACAGGCTTCATCTGTCTCCCACCATCCAGGGCATTTCTCTGGGTAAACAACGTAACCTCAGGTGTTTTTACTTTTCCCTACCACGTGTGAGCACACTCGCACGCCCTCTTTCTCCTCACTGTTCACTGAGGAGGACAATTAGACCTCATTCCTCTCATCTGATCGCCACAGTTGGGCCAGGGATGTAGTTCAGTGATGCAGTGCCTACCAAGTGTGAGGCCTTGAGTTTGATTCCCGGTACCAAATTAAAAATATCAGTTGTTGAAAGAGATTAGAGTACGAATAGGTAATGCATAGAGAATTTTTAGGGAAGCAAAACTATTCTGCAAAATTCCATACAGTAAAATGTAAAATCATAAGTTCACAGCTTGGTAAGTTTCTGTCTGTACACACTATTTCACCACTGCACTTTCATCACTGCTGAAAATTCTCTCATGATGCATTCCAGTTGTTACGGTTGAATTGTACCCCCTCATCCCCAAATTCATGTATTGAAGACATCCTAGTTTCTCAGAATATGACTTTATTTGGAAATAGTGTCTTTACTGACAGTTTTAATGAGGTCATTGAAGTGGGCCCTGATCCAATAAAACTGTTGTTCTCATAAAAAGAGGAAATTTGGAAACAGATATGCACACATAGAGGACACCACGTGACAATGATGGCAGTGATCTGGATAAAGCTCCTACAAGCCACAGAGTGCCAGTGAATGCCACAGGTTTGCCAGCAAGCCACCAGAAGCTAGGTGAGGGTAAAGAAAGATTCTCTCATACAACTCAGAGAAGGACTCAATCTCATCAAAATCTTGATCTTGAACTTCGAGTCTCCAGAAATGTAAGCCAATAAAATTCTGTTGTTCAAGCCACCTAATTTTTAGTCTTGTTGTGTATGTCAACTGTAACAAACTGATGTGCCAGTCAGTTCCTCTCTGTAAAGTTAATTCAGTATTGTTTTCTGTCATTTAATATGGGTTAGGTTTTCCTGTTCATGTACTCCATGTCTATAGACTCATACAATCTATACCTTTTGTGCATCTCTTTTGCTCCATGTAATACTTCTGGGACTCATTTATATAATATATATCATTATTTTGCTATCTTCTCTTTGCTTTTTAATGTTTCATGGTATACATATTTTGCAGTTTGTTTACCAATGTTCCCATTATGGACATTTGGGTTGTTTCCAGTTTGGGGCTAGTAAAATAAAATGTCTCTGAACAATTGTTCATGGTGTGTGTGTGTGTGTGTGTGTGTGTGTGTGTGTGTGTTGAGGGTGTTTCTAGTTTCTATTTTTTCTCTCATGTTTTAGAAAATGAATCTTGTATCTCAGACAGTCTAGCACTTTTCTAACTAACTGTGGATGAAATTTAGTTGTTAATGGAAAACTGTAGAAGCCTGTATGTAACTTTGTCTAGCAAGTGTTTACTTTTCTTCTAGAATGTAGCTCAAGGAGAGAGATGGAGATCATTTCAGGCCAGGTTTCAGTCTTCTTTAGACCTGGTCTATTTTGATTTACCCTTAGTTCTAGGAGTACCCTATGGAGTCTCATTTGAAAGCCCAGTGTGTTTAACAAGACCTATTGGCTGACCTTGGAATCCGATTTTAGTTTCTTTAGTGCTGTGGCTGCCAAAGGCTCTGCTTAGCTCTTAGCTTTTTAGCTCTTGTTTACTTGGGGTTTCAGCCTCTCATTCCACCAGCTTTGAAATCAGCAGATGACATAAGGGTAGAACAGAAAGGCCAGCTCCCTTCTCTGTGTTTCTCTTTTACCTAGGCTCTTGGCCTTTTGAGTCCTGAGGTCCATTGTGTGTCTCTCCTGTTCTGAGAGTTCTCAGATGCCACTTTCTGCCCAGACTTTTGGCCCCTGTTGCTTTTAAATTTGCAAATGTCTCAGAAGGAAGAGGGTAGCATGTCAGGCTTCATGAAATGAGTAGGTTTTCCTTCTCACTGACGTCTTGTCTCTTCAAGTCCTGGATCCCCATTGTCTTCTAGTGCCTTTCAAATTGATTTTTAAAAACCTGTTATTTGTAGTTCTTAGTGGGAAGGTTCGTCTGTTACCTTCTATTCCATAGCTGGAGCTGAAATCTCTTCATTAATCCATTAGGTAGACTCCCATTGGTTGACTCTGCACTTGCCAGGCAGCATACATGTGCTAGTGAGCTTTCTGTTCTGCAACAAACTACCTGAGAAAATCAACTTAAGGAGGAAAGACCCACTTTGGTTCATGATTTCAGAGATTTCAGTCCCTGAACAACTGGCTCCATTGCTTGTAGGTCTGTGATGAGATAGAAACATCATGGGGGAATGGCACAGTTCAGTAAAAGAGTGGCAGGAAGAGGGAGAGGGAGAGGGCACCTACTAGTCCCTATTGCCTAATAAATCTATTTAGCTAATGAACTCATCAATGGATTAACCCACTTAATAAAGTTAGAGCCCTTGTGATCCAATCACTTAACAAAGCCCACAACTGCCAACCAAGCCCTCAACAGTGTTTTGTTTTGTTTTAAGGGATATTTCATATCCCACTCATAATAATACCCAAGCATTGTAATGTTCTCTTTTTTTCCTGAGTATTCACAATAGTCCTTTGAAATAGATGTTCCTACAGTTTCCATTTTACAGATGGAAAGCCTGAGATTCAGCCAGGTGAAAAGATTCACCCAGGATGAGGCACTTCCTAAAACAGAATTTAAATCAGATGTGACTAGCCTAGACTCTAGACCTTTAACTGCTAGGTAACCAGCCTCTGTAGCCATGAGATTCAGAGGTGGCTCTAAGATCTTCTTCCTCCAGGAAGCCCTCCAAGAGACTCTTCCATCACTACCCTTCTATAGCAACAACTATTCATGCTCATATCTTTCTGAGCAACCCACTACTGTAAAAGGAGGACTTAAATGCTCAGAATCGAGGAAGCAGGCTAGGGATTTCAAATAGCCACCAGAGTCACTCATGAGAACTCAAAAATCAGTAGGCTTGGGAGGCAGTGAGGCAAGTCAGGAAGACATTTGCAGCATTCCAGGGGTGGCCCGGCCTGTACCCCTACTAAAAGCCCCATGATGCCCAGGGTTTGATGGCAGAAAGAGAAAGGGTTGTGCTGCTCATTCATTCTGGGGCTCGGGGATTGACACTGTCTCTCCTAGGGCCTGGATTGCCCCTCTATAAAATGGGTTCATGTCTTTTGTCACCTCAGCAGGGTGGCAGGTAAGGAAGGTGATTTGAACACACTGGTAGTATGAAGGATTAGTGCTATAACATCATCCAGTCAGAGCCCATAGCTCGGGGCAAGGGTCCACTATGACCTCCACTAGACTGCTTCCAGACCAGCAGAGCCAGACTGGTGGGCACATGAGATAGTTTCTGGATGCTCTGTAAGAAAGGTGACCTTCTGGGAATGGCTCTTCTCTCCCCTCCTCATGCCCCTCTGTTTCCTGAGACACTCCAGGGATTGCACTACTGACCACAGCTTCCTAAACCAATCCTAGTTCAGCCAGAGGGCACTCCTCAGAGTCCTATTGCTCCCTGCCCACTAAGGCCTCCTTTCCTACACACCAGGGCTGCTTTTGCCTCATTGGACAGTCAGGGCCAGGGCAAGTTTGCCAATACCCTGGGATAGAGTAGTAGAGGCAGGCAGCACTATGACCCAGGGGAGAGCCCCACCTGCTCCTAGATGGGATCCCAGGCTGGGATTTCCCCAGCTCTCAGCAGTGGGTTGCACTTCTGCAATGGAAAATTACACTTCCATTTTCTTTCCTAAAGGGAAAAAGGAAGAAAGAAGCAAACGGAAGCAACTTCTGACGCATTATGTTCCTGAGCTGCAGCCATACAAGCATCCCAGCCCCACCCCCGCTTTGCCCCAGCCCAGACCCACTCCCTCAGGAGAGCTCACAGCTGCAGGGCTAACGCCAGATGTGGTGCTGGCCACAAGGTAGGTGAAGTCAGAGGGACGGAACCCACAGGGAAGCTGAGAGGAGGGCTTCTTGCCAGACACACACCTGGGTGTTTTTTCTTACTTTATAGCCAGAGGCAGAATCATGAGGGATGGGTTTTTTCCCAGAGGAGTTGGGATCCAAGAGTTAAGAGAAAGCCACTCGGGGACTTTTCTGGTGGCTGATTTTGTCAGCTCTAAATGGCTCAACAGAACAGAGTGAGGTCACACAGAACTGTGAATCCTTTCTGATGAATTCTACCAGGGTCCCTGAGCCACAGGATTGGTTTCTAGGGGTGAACACAGCTCCTGGCCAGGCCAGTTGTCCTGGGCTCAGCCTGTTTCCCAGCCTCAGGGAGGGAGAGGCTTTCTGCAAGCAGGGGCTCAAAGGAGAATGTGGCTAGAAGGACATGTCTTTATATGTACCAGGGAAAAGGGGTATCCTGAGGGGCCTAGGCCACACTATCAGACCAGGAGGTCCCCATTAACTAACTGCATCTGAAGGACAGGAGGGACAGAGAGGTGAGGACTAGAAGTGGTGACTTTGTGCCACCTGGTACAAGCTCTTGTCCCATGGCCTTTGAGGACCAATCTCCCATTAGTGGGCTGCAAGTACTTGACTAGACCGTATATGTAAGCTCCTCATTTAGCCAACTGAGTGATGTGTCCTCAGATACTTGCTGTGGCCAGGAGCTCTCTATACTGAGAACTGGGGAACACTCTGCCTTTGGAAGGCCCCAGGGAGACAAGAGAGGAGCTCAGGGAAGACAGGAAAAGGCCCACAGAACTCTGGCATGAAATGCAGATATGGGGAGAAGGAGTAGTGGTGGAGGTGAAAGAGGCGCGCTCTCTCTGCTGTGGATGTCAGAGAGCAGAGGTCACTTTTCCCAGGGGAAAAACAACCTCATGGACGAGTTAACAACCAGGCCTTGGAAGATGAGCAGTATTTGAACACAGAATTTGGGATAGAAGATATGTCCTTATGGAAAATAATATGGACAAAAGCCTGGAGCTAGGAAAATGTATTACTTATCCAAGGGCATTCAGCCTTTGGTTCCTGTTAAAGAGGCAGCAGATCCCGGGCCCTGCAGGGTATGTGGATGTGGCAGAGAGTTTGTGTCCCTCAAATCCAAATCCATGCAGGAACAAAGCTGAACATTGGAAATGGCCTCCCCTGTGTGCCAATGAGATTCCAAAGGACAAATTCCTGGAGACAGACTTGTGGGGCAAATGATGTGGAGATTTTCCACTGTGACAGACAGCACCAGTTGCCTCCATGAAACCTCTATGAATTCACTAGTGAGCTATCTCTTGGTACTGTCCACCTTGTCCATCAGGGTCTGTCTTCCACCCATTGGTAAAGACAAGATGCTTGTTCCCTTCACAAGAGAATGCACGGAGCACTGGACCTGGCCCATAGGAGGCCCTTGGAAAGTGCTAGCTGTTTGTATTCTGCCTTGGGGTCTCCAGCAGCCTTTCTGATGCCCAGAAGTAGGTGAGCTTCCCTCTCTTGTGTCCCACCATACCCCCAGAGCTAGGAACATTATTTCTCTCCATTGGGTACTCCTGGGAGTGAGCTTGATTACATCTCCTTCTCTGCAGCAGCTAGTTTGGCTCCAGACTCAAAGAAAGGTTCAGCAAGGGTTTGTTCTGTGACTGTCAGATGCAAGAAAGGTGTAACCTGTATTTCTTCCCTTCCCATCGTATGAAGCAAGGCCAGTTGTCCCCAAATTACCAACAGACAACCAAAGCCCCAACCGCAAGCTAATATGCTTTATCCCTTGAATAGAAGGATAGATATACTTACATTGCAGAAAACTATAATGCAGAGAGGAGAGGTAGCATGTCTCACCTTCAGAGCAAATCTAGAGGTAGACCCAGTTGTCTCTAACCTAGTTTTGGGTAGAACGACTGTATCAATGGATATGTGGCTTTGATTGGTGAGATATGGCCAAGGGGTCACTAGGAGATCAGGCTGTTCAGGCTCAGAAAGCCACAGAGGTATGTTGTGTTACATCCTTCCCAGGTTCTTGACCATGGAGAGGACACTCACAGTCCTGCAGGTGAACCTGTACCACCCCACTCCAGGCTCGGCTGCTTTCACCAATGTCCCCGTACAGAGGCAGCATGATACCAGCCCACTGCTAGTTGGGTGGGGGAAGGATGTCCACCTCCAGCTGCAGCTGCCCCAACTCTCCCATCGACACCTGTCCCTGGAGCCCTACCTGGAGAAGGGCAGCACTGTATTGACCTTCTGTCTCAAGGTCCTGAGCCGCAAGAGCTGTGTGTGGGTCAATGGGCTGCCACTGAGGTCCCTGGAACAAGTCCCCCTGAGCACCATCAGCAGAGTCTCCTTCTGTGAGGTCCAGATGGTGGTCCACATTGAGGGAGGCACCTCCCTGGAGGCCTTTGTCTGCTGCTTCCATCTCAGTCGCTCACCCCTGATTTACCAACCCAAGGCTGAGGAGAGTGATGAAAGGGAAGGCATCCTACAGGAGCAACCTCCTCCAGGTTCAGGGACACAGACTCCTAGTCACCTGCGGTTTCTCCACAGTCCTTCTCAGAATCAGAACAACCATCTCCAACCCAGGCCTGGAGAAGGAACAGAAGTACAGCTGTACAGGGAGGCCCCAGACACTCCACTCTGCAGTTCTGCCACTGAGAGCAAGTCATAGTGAATCAGAGCTTGAAATATTCGAGCTACATCATGAGAGACTGACGTGCAAGCTTCACATTCAAGGCCTGCTGGCTGCCTGGCTCACAATGAACCAATTCTGCATCACACAAGAGCCCCCAGGGGTGGGAAAGAGCCTTCTGTGTCTAGAGGTCATGCGGACGTCATATAATTTTAGAGGCTGTGAGGGGTTCTGAGGAGCCCCTCCCAGCATTACTCCACTTTTCCCCCTTCTCTGACTAGTAGTTACTTTATGTTGTTCATTTGGAGGGCTGCTTAAGAGCCAGAGTTTAAGGTTGCAGGAGGAATGCACGGACACATGTAGCAATTACATTTGTGGTAGCTCCAGGTTACCTTCAGCTTTCAAATACCCACAGGCACTTAGGGCTTAGGGAAGCCTGTGTTTAATAAACTACAAGTATTTCATTAAGCTGGCATATCCAATAGGGTTCCTTGATCCCCAGACGTTGCATGCCACGTTGTCACGCAGAGGCAGCAGCAGGAAACCTAGAAGAGGTGTAAGAGGAAATTGGAAAGGTAGGAATCACATTTCCGGAAAGGACATAGGCAGAGCTCAGGGCTTTCAGGATGGGAGCTGGGAGCTGGGCCTGCCTGGTAATTCATTGTCACTGTCATCCTCCTCATCCTCTCACTCTCCCATTCTTTGCCACTACTGGAGCAAAGCCTTGGCTGTCCCAAGGGCGAGGTCTTCAGAGGAAAGGTGTTTCCCAGAGCAATGGGCTCTTTCAGGACTTATCCTATGAGGTGTGGGGTAGAAGCCTGGGTTAGAATTCAGTCCAGCAATTACTTCACTCAGACTGGGTCATATACCAATGATGAGAGTCTGCAAAATGGGATTTGCAAAGGGCCAAGCAGGTTAATGGTGGGCGGATTTTCTCGGTTCATGGGGGAGCACAATGCCAGTAACCACTTACTATGCTATCTTGCCAAGGGAGAACGAGGCTTAGAAATAGTCCTCACCAGTGTGATGGAGGGAGGAGCCTACAAACTCAGATGGTTACCATGATCCCAGACCCCTCCCCATCTCAGGCACAGAGGGCATGGTGCTGCCACTTGATGACTCATATCCTTGGGTTCTGTAACTACCTCCAGTGTATGCCACTCCCCACTGAAGAAGAACAACCTCAAGGGAGACTACAGGAGATTCAGCTCCACTCCTAGACACTGAGCTTCCCCATGGAGAAAATGGCGCCATATAAGACTCAACATGTCTTTACTTGGGAAGCTCCCGCATGAATAGGAAATAAATCAAGTATACACAGATAACAGTCACAAGGCAGAAGAGAGCAAGAGCTGCCAGGGAAGGGATGGCCAATGCTGTGAAGGGTCCCCTTGAGACTCCCAAAGCAGTCCCTATTCATTCAGCAAACTTTCACCAAGCACAGCCCCAGGCTGATAAAGTCTCTGCCTTTGGGTAGCCTCAAGCAAGACAAGTATTCATGGAGCTAATGATATGATTACAGGGGTACCTTGCTTTAAGAACTTATTTTTTTTTTTAAGATTTGGGAGAAGATGGCTGAATTTATGCTTGTGTGGGGAAGATGGCCATGATTGTGTTTGTCAGCTGATGTGGAGTTTGTAAGCAGAATCAAATTTTTGCTGAATATTTTTGTTTTTGAACCAAATTATTTGTAAACAGAAGCATTTGTGAACTGAGTTATTACTGTACAGTATTCGATTACCACTGTGAATGATACTATAGTCATTAGATTTTCACTCCCCCAGCTGAGCTTAAAACTTAGCTCCACTGTTAAGTGGCCTTGTTACTGAAGTTTATCATGTGCTCAGCACTCTGCTAGGTGCTGTATGCACAGGCTCATTTATACCTCACTCCAGATGACAATGACATTAACCATATTTTACAGGTGAGGAAACTAAGACCCAGAAAGGTTAATTCTCTTTCCCCAAACTATACCATTCATGAACTCTGTGATCTTGGGCAAGTAACTTAGCTTGTTCTTTTTTTTTTTTTCAGCTTTAATTGAGTTTATTGGTACATGTTAGAGATACAGTACAGTTACATTTATTGTTGGGATCTTGTACCTCTACATGACAAGTCTTGAAGCTTGTTCTTGCCTTTATTTCTCTCATGGAAAATGGGTAAGGCAACAGTGGCTGTAAGTAAGAGCTGTTATGAAGGAATTAAGAGCAGCAAATGCAAAGTGCTTAGTGTAGTTCTTGGCACACCATAGCACTCAGTAGGGTCAGCCACTGTCATGAAATCAGGAGTCAACCTAATAGGTACACACCCAAGGGTTCACCACCAACCTGAAGCTAAAGAAGATTTGAAGTCTGGCAAACTGGTCAAAAGCCCAAAGGCTTCTCTGACTAAGGGTTTTCTTGCAGCTGTGGACCTAGTGGGCAGTTGTGAGGAGATTTGAAGAAGTTTGTGCACCAAGAGATCCAAGGGTTTGTAGAACAAGAGACTCACTGTTGAGGGTGGTAAGGAAGAGGAGCCACATGTAGTTTGTCCCACTGTTGGAACTGCCTTGTTATCTCACATGCTTATTCTAAAAGAGCAAGAGTCCCTCACAGGTCAAAGTGCTGCCCAAACTGTGTTACAGAGCAGCCACCCACATCAAGAGTCTGAGACTGGAGCCACCCCGGACACTGTATGTGGGCAGCAAAGGCTGATGAGAGGGAGCTGTTGGAGACACCATAGGGTCACCACATGTGGCTCCCAACCCCTCTGGAGAACCTTTAGGATAAGCTGCTGCAGGTGAGTACCTCTCTCCAAGGCCAGAGCAAGGATTCTCTCCCCTTTAGGAAGGAACAAGCCCATCACTGCTGAGGTTCTATGAGAGCAGCCTATTCCTCCATGGATGACTCTGCAACTTGAGCCTTCAGGATGAAGCATCAATGAGGCTGAAGGCTGAAGGCCAGACACAGGACGGACGCGATCAAGAAACATCTGGCTTATTGTTTCAGATTCTACTGACTCATGAATTCTCCCTGGGAAACTCAGGCTTTGCCTCATCCTGCCCATCCAGGGCTCTGCTTTTCTAGAGTAGTGAGGATTTAAAGCAGTAGATCCCTAACACCCACCCTACTCTTCTAACCATTGGGTTTTGCAGGTAGGCTTCCAGGACCTCATCTACATACCTCATACCACTTCCCTCGTTGCATAGACACCTCCCTGGGGAAGGTTCGCCCAGCATTTCCCTCTGCACTCTCAGCTTCATGCATGGGACAGCCCATATGCTAAAGGGTATGCGTGCATGTGAGCACACACAGACACACTCAGCCACACAAGCACTATGGTGGTTCCCAGCTGAGGCTCAGTGGCCACACTGCTCAGGCTGCCCACTTACTAGTTCTTGATCTCTGACATTTAACTGAGTCCCCCTGTGCTGTAGTTCCTTTGAGAAAATGAGGATAATAACAGCTCTCCTGACCTTAGAGGCATTGTAGAGGTAAAACAAGGAACTGCAGGTAAGGCATCTAGTATAGTCTGTGGTATGCAGATACTCAAGAGACTCAGCTATAGTTGGCCAGTTCAGGGGAATGAATTGAATGCAAGTAGACATGTGGAGTTGATTTACACATGCACACAAACACACGTCTGCTCCAAGGAGCTACATCAGTTATAGTCAGGTAGACCCTGGAGGATTACTGTTCTCTGAGACAATGTCTGCAAATGCACAAGTCTTCCCCTGGGCTGCCCCTTAAGGAACTTTAACCCTTACATCCTCTGTTTTTCCGAGAAAGTGAATGTTCCTAACCTGCCAGCAAGAAAGACCCAGAATCTGCTTGAAGCTGTGTCAAGGGAGACACATATGCCCTATACACCGGCACAGAGCAGAGACATAGGTCCAGGGCAATGCCATGAGAAAGCATGGTGGGCATGGTCATGCCATCCTGCAGCAGCATGGAGAACGGAAGCCTGCGGCTGAGCAGGGCATTCCTATGGGGGATGTCAGCACACCCCAGTCCCTAGCTCTTCAGTGAGACCTAGGCTCTATTCAAACAAAGGCCCCAGACTGTTGGATGTTAAGTTCCCAGTGGCCATCATGGAGCTGAGTAGAGGGTAGATGGACAGACAGGGCATTGGTGCCCAGACAGATTAGCCCTGGGATGTTAAGGCCTGAGCCAGGCTTCACATGCCAGGAACCAGCCATCCTAAGATGGCAGTGGCGGGAAGATAGCCAGACAGCAAGGGCAGAAGGTTGCAAACCCTGGGTATACAGTGATGAAGGTGGCTATCTCTGCCTCCTCTTGGCCACCGTGGGCAGAACAAGGTGGTGCTTCATTCTCATTCTTGAGTTTCACTAGCTCCAACTCAAGTGAAACCTGGGGTTTGGGATTCTGTGCAGTAACTGCAGAAAAAGATTGATGGATTTAACAGGGTGCCACATCATGATGACAGACAGAGAAGACTCAGCCAGTATCTCTAGCCCCAACTGAGGCACATAAGGATAAGCATCCCGGAAAGCCCTGGGAGGAGCTCAGTATCCGGCTGGCTGGATTGAGTCTGGCTTTTGATCTGCCAAGTGTCTGATCTGCTCTGACCCTCTCCTTGACCCTGTTAGGTGGAGCCAGCCTGCACAGACCCTCTCCCCCACCACATGCCAGCAGTGCCCACCTTGCTGTACCAGCACTCCATTGCTCACACCAGTGCTACCTATTAAGAGACCCCCGGAGGCTCCAGGAGACCAGGAAGTCACTCCGCAGGAGGTACCTGCATCTTCAAAGAAAAGGTTGGAGAAAGCAATGCTTAACCTGAAGAAATGGCTGCATAGTAGGAAGAGTGGCATCAAAGGTTTCCCAGCAGGTCACTGAGGAAATGGCCACTTCATAAACGTGTAAAGCAATACTTAGTGGAGAGCCAGTTCCCAGTCTCCACGTGTCCAAAACATAGAGCCGAGACAGGAACCGAGAGTAGATCTTTCTACAAGCAATCCACTGAGTAGCCAGGCTGTAGGTAGCAAAGAGGTATGCAAAAATAAGCACGCCTCATACAGCAAGGATGGCTCATCATCCCAGCAACCAGCTGCAAGTTGGGACACTGCCTCGCACTCCATCTACGGTGAGCTTGATTCTCAGGCCACACTCTGTTTCCTCCTCCTCAGCTTTCACCCATGGCAGCTGAGATTGCCACGGTCCATGAAGTCAGGAGGCCTTTTTCCACCAGGTCTTCCTTGCAGCAGCTCTACCTGCATTCCAGTTTTTCACTGCCACCCCAGAGCCAAAACCTATCCCAGACTTGTGGGGGAGGAGTAAACAAGCCCATTGCCCCCAACTTTAGGAGGAGATGTGGAATTTAATGAACTCGGTTCACATTGCAGGGCTGTGATTCCTCTTACCTTTAACGTGAACTCACAGGCGGATTAAACTGAAAGAAAAACTACCATTTGAGTTACATTCTCAGCTGATTGGAAACATGCATTACCTCCCTGTGACCAGACCGTGAGAAGGGAAGTTATTATCTTTCTTTAGAGTTTGTAAACCCTTTATGGCTGAGGCAGCTTTAATCCTGCCTGGGGGGAAAAAATGATGCGGAATAAATTACTCCCATTTACCTTTGTTTTCCAATCACATGCTCCAGTGGGAACAAAACATCCTAAGTGAGGGGATGTGGAGAGCCAGGTGATCCTTGACAGAAGAGTTTAATTATTTTCTTCTTTAAGCACGTGAGCTGAAAGGGCTTTAAAGCATCATTTGGCAAGGGGGCTTGTTCCACAGAAATGTGCACTCCAGCGAGGATGCCAGCATCCCCTGGCTTTTCCTGGTTCCTCTGCTTTTTCTTTCCAATGGGCAGTGGCCCCAACCCATCCCACAATGCCTGTTTCTTAATGGGGCATTCAGAGCAAACCTTTTCACTCCAGACATTTAGGAACAACCAGGAAGGAGCCAAAGAAAAGGCAGCTTTGAATCAAAATCAAATCAGTGTCTGGGCTAGGGCTCTAGAAAGGCAGACTTCACTTCTTTGTTATTTCTCTGATCCGCTCTGTTACCTAAATGACACTGTGCTAATGTGTAGGCGGTACCTGCAAAGCCATTGAGATGGCCCAGGCTCTGAGCCCAGGTTTCTGATGGCTGGAAGGAGGTCTGGCTGAGACGTTTGCTTCACTTTCCTTTAAAGGGGTAGGGTGGGAATCTTCACAATGAAGCAGAAGTGGGGGCCACTGGAATGGGAAGTCAGACAGCCAAAGCTGGGTTTTCCATGCTTGCTTCTCTGTGGGGTGAGGACATCATGTCATCATCCTTTTAGACAGCCTGCTGCAGGTCAGATGGGAATATGGACTCTATATTCAGTGATTTTGTTAGTGGATATATCATTCAGGATTGAGTCAGAAGAAACAAAATTAAGTATTCCAAAAATGTAATTCAGGGGATTGGAACACAGGAGGTGGAATTTCTGAGAAG